ATATATATATATATGACTTAATTATTGTATATGGATGACTGATGAATTACAAATATTATGGGAGATCAAACATGGTGCAATTCACATTTATCCTGGCGTAATAGACTGTAATCAAGCAGTGAGCTCTAATACACGTAAACATGCGCTTTGTTAGGCCAACGAGGACGAGATCCAGGTTAAAAATAATGCCACGAAACTACCTCTGTCAGGTAGTGTGCTAGGACCGTAGAGTTCTTGTCGAATCCGTCTTACGCATATTATATTAACTCAAGTTAGTTAAAAAAGTATGGGAGTAGCTGTTGCAGGCATGGGCAATACACACTTGTACGGGCTATGGAATATTTGCATTATGGCGCGCCGCACGTTTCATTTGAAAAAAGTGCGCATTTTATTTTCAGTAACATCTTGTTTACTGCCTGTATTTAGACCCGTTGCGCCTGTAAAATAATGCATATGCACAATGCAGAGAAGGCAGGTACGTATAGAGAATATAGAACGGAAGGTCTGTGAGGTTCACGATATTCGCTGGCGACTTGCATATATAGATGACTGATGTTAGAAACGTACAAAGTGCGAAATGCAGAGAATTATCGCCAAATTTCCTCGCCGTTCGGCGATTTCTCACACGACGCACGCCGAAAATTAATGCCGACGTCAGAACAGCGTGACGGAGTTCGTTTGTGCGTTTATTGCCTCGGTGCTTTTCTATACATATGCTTGATCTTGACCGCGACGACATATACCGAGCATAACCGTACCCACTGAAACGTACAACGCTTTAATCGAAACCGTGTGGCATAATCGATCCGTTACCTCTTTAAATTCCATGAGTAAGCTTCGGTTTAATTCTATTTTGCTCTTATTTACTTTCTTTATCGCCACCAAAGTCGCCTGAAAAGAGAAAGAGGAATATATTATAATAATGACGCCTGTATTTGCGATGTAATCAATATTGAGTAAAGGGGAGGACACAATTATTAGTGTGAACAGGTCTAGAGTTCATACTCTGCGCATGGTGGGAACACATTATCTGATGATTTAAACACATCAAATATCTATCTCGCAATAAAACCAATGTCGTGAAATTTATCCACTATGTCGGTATGCGTTACGTGGAATGAATATATACGCCATTTAAGTTGTTATAGATGACGCAAATTTATATAAAGACATCTAGCCATAGAGATGGCTGAGCGAACTGGATCAGTGTGGTATACTCGCAAAGCGGTAACTCGGTTGTGTTGGATGCATATTGTTGACCATATACTAATCGCTGGTTACACATGAATATAGATAGCCACTAGCACCGCGTCGCACTTGCCTTGTAATAGCCGGTGGTCGCGAACATTTGCTTGCTCATGTCTTGAAGGGCGATCGTTTCTGCCGACAGATTACTCTGTAGGAAAACATAACGCAATCACATTCGGTTAAAAAAACGAGGAAAAATGAAAGCAATACGGTAGTACGGCAGGTCGAAGCATCGAGCTCTGTAGATCGATCGCCTTCGAACCGACATCATTTCAACGCGTCATTGACAACCGCGATCGAATATAAAGCGGGAATATTAAACGCTAGCTGGTACTTGTATACTCCCGCTGCACAAGAGCGTGCATGCGCGCTGTTTGAGGGAGTTCGTACCTGGAGGTGGTTATAGCCACGTTCATATGCAGTATCGCATCGTACTAATATCACTCCCCGATCACGTAATGTCTCTCTCATGCAGCCATAATTTTTTTTACCATGCTCGAGAGGCGAAACTATGGATTTAATATGAGGCTGTTACGTTTTAAACGAAAAGCGAAAATTGTCTACAGCGATCATTGCCCATGCACGTCGCCGTTTCTCTCGGGGCGTCCGTTAACCATTAATGCACGTCATATGCAATGATTACTCGTAACTCTAAATTGCGTCCCCTAAGCCATCACTGATCTAGACATCCAGAGAGACATGATACAAGATTGCGTGGCACAGCTTTGCTGTGGATCCTGAGCGCTGCGCGCGGATGAGACGCGCAGTTCCGCGGGATATGCGCACGCGACCGCGGCGATGTTCAAGTATGAAGCGCTGTCCGCAGTGGAGACGTGCGCCAAATTCGAGGCCCGGCGCACGTCTCCACAGCGGTCAGCGGATGGTCTCTAGTTTTAGAAGATAAAGACTTTGTTCTAAATAAGAACTATCGGCGGCTAAATAAGAGCGATATACACACCTTTCAATTTTTTGACTAGTCAGTCAAGGGGCTTGTTGGGGGTCCATTATGCCGAGCTTCCAATTGAAATGGCCCATGAAATTGTTAAGTGGAATTGTGTTTTTCGGAACCCGAAAGAAAATGTCTCCATCTTACATGCACCCCTCCCTGATCAATTACGCATTCAAGCGTAAACAATAACAGAGATGAAATTGTGTTAAGTTTGTGGCTCTTGACGCACGTGCATTGACGTACAAGACTGTTGAAAGCACAGGCACTTGGAACGTCTCAATAAAAATAAATATTCATAAAAATTTTTTCACAATGATCCACCGCCTGTGTGCAAAATGAGCGTATGTGAAACATTTACGGTTAGTACTTACTGTCACAAATCCGTGACTAACTGACACCACTAAATTGGTAAAATGTTCCATGCACTTTAAGAAATTCTGAGAAATTACGAGGTTATTATCGCAGAACTCCTGACACCGCCTATCAGGATGTCACAAAGCTATATGTAAACAAACAGGCGTGTTGCGAGGTGCCTGCCTCCGATATCCATTTCGAGGCCCGCTAAGCCAAGCATAAAGCGCGCTACACACAAGCGGGCGTTGAAAAACCAACAAATAGAACGATTGATTAATTCGCAAAACTTCAAGATACAAGAGCGACAAAGTGTGCGAGTTTTCGTGTTTCCTCCATTCTTGTTCCGCAGGCTGATAGCGCCACCCTGCCGAATAGGGTTAATAGCGAGGGCGTGTACGGAGCCGCGGTCGGTAACCAGGTGGACAGGCCGACAATAGGCGAGCAACCCAGCGGCCTAATTTAATTATTTTGCGAGGACAAATGGCGAATTTCAATGAAAATGAAAAGCGAGAAAGCGCGCCGGTATGTGGTAGCCGTACCGCAGTGCCGTGTAGCAAATTGGTGGCGACAGTTCACAAGATGGATGACGAGGGACGGCGCATACCTATACCTGCGCACTGCCGGATCCTCGAAACCCCAGCCGGCTAGAGGAGGAGGAGGACGAGGAGGAGGAGGAGAAAGAGGAGGACGAGGACGAGGGAAATGTCAAGAGAAGGGTGCGAGTTAGAGGGAGACGCTAAGAAGACGAGTTGAGCTAGAGAGAGATGGCATTAGAAAGACATGAGTTAGAGAGAGCGAGAGAGAGAGAGAGAGAGAGAGAGAGAGAGAGAGCGAGAGAGAGAGAGAGAGAGAGAGCGCGAGAAAGAGAGAGAGAGAGAGAGAGAGAGAGAGAGAGAGAGAGAGAGAGAGAGAGAGAGAGAGAGAGCGAGACGCTAAGGGGAGAGTGCGAGCTAGAGGAAGATGACAAGACGAGCGGGGCGATTGGAAGGAAGACGCCAAGAGCATGTGGCCAATCAAAAGAAGATGGGACGAGGGAGCGAAAGATATCCACAGAAGGGAGCGAGTTAAAAGGATGCGTCAATAGGGTCGGTTAAGGGCAGACACCAATGGGACGGAGAGGAACTAGAGAAAGACGTCAAGAAGAAGGAGCAAGAAGAGTAGGACGCCAAGAGGAGCGGCAAATCGAGGAGGACTCCAAGTGGAGAGATTAGGAGCGAGATGCGCCAAGTGGAGGGATTGCGTTAGATGAAGACGCCAACAGGAAAGGGCGAAACAGAGGAAGCTCCCAAGTGGGGGAATTGCGCTAGGGTTAAGGATAGAAGGTTCATTCAGGTGAGATGTGATGGTGGATAAACACGTTATGAGGTGGTGAGAGACGCAACGCAGTACGAGCAGTAATTGAAACCCGACAAGGGAAGAGCGAGTGTGAAGATTGGAAAGGGTAAATAGAACCGGAGGCATTGGAATGACAAATATTGACAAGATGTTGAAAGTGTGGGAGCGTGTTTGCGTTGGAAAATTATTATATATACTCGTGCAGAATATAACAGATGTTGACAAGCAGAGTTAATGTAAGGAAGCCATCTTGGAACATCATATGCGAGAGCCATTACCATTTTCACTGTACATCCTTGCCGTTTGCGTGCGTATGGGCGCGCGCGTGTGTGTTTGTGTATTTGTGTGTTTGTTTGTTTGTGTGTGTGTGTATGTGTGTGTGGCTGTGTGTGTGTGTGTGT